GAAGACAGATCAAAGTAGAGATCCCTATTTTTATATTAAATAAAGAGGTATATAAAATTTTACAAGAACACCTGACGTAAAAACATTTTGGATATAAATGGGGAGGAACTGTACAAAGAAAATTCTACACGTCAGTTTGATAGATATTTTAGCTATCAAACTGACGTGTAGATTATTTTTATGGTAGATTAGTAGGTGGTGTAAGAATTAAATTATCGGTGGCAGCACAAAAAGTTTATTTACGCGACTATTACTAGAGGTGGGGACGCCGCAACAACGTTTGCCCCGGGCGCCACCAAATCTAGGGACGGCCCTGCGTACAGTTTGCTATATTCGTTACAAAAATATATAGTAAAGAAATCATTGAACTCCAGTGATTAAACATTAAATTATCAAATCATAAAACACCGTTTGTAAAGATTTAATTAAAAATTAAACATATTTAGTTATAGATGTGTACACAGTTGTTACAACTAGCCAAATAGGAAAAAAAAATTTTTTTTTCTGAAAATCCAGGGTGGGTCAAGTTACCCTCTTTAACCCATACTGTTGGCGCCCGTTGTTCCATTTTGTCTCTTTTTTAGTGATCTTGTAGGTTTGTTTGTATCATCCGTAATATTTTTTAAGGATTATACCCAGTGGACACGGGACATAAAAAAAACGCCTTTTGAATGTTTTTGATGTCTTTTAAGCATTCAAAAGACGTCTTTTTTAATCCTGTGCCAACTGAGTAGTTGATCATGTGGTTTATTATTATTATTATTATTTTTTTTTTTTTTACATAAACCTTTATTTAAAATTGATTGGCATTACAAATAATGAATTGTACAATTTTCTCTATTGCTAAAAATGTAAGAAGTGTAGCAGCACTAGAGCGTAGGCAAATAAACACTGTTTATTAAACAGATTACTTGTGTGTTGAAAATGCAGCTGAGCTGCCAATGTTGCGTGGCGGGTAAAAATCACTGACACCATCACGTAGAATACGAAGGTATTTTTGAATGAAGGATTGTTAGTAAGTTGTTGTGTTAGCGTTATTAAGAGCAAACGGAAATCTATTGGGATTTTTGCTATTAGTGCAGGCTAGTCTATTGGTTATCGGATGGTATGTATCATTAAAGATCTTTTTGAGGATATTTATACATGCTTTTTCTAATAATTCTTCAATGTTAAAACAAATATTGAAGCGGCTCGAATTGGTTGAGTCAATACCAATGATATGCAACGCATTTTTATGGAAATTTTGAATCTCTTTTTTTGCCGCATAAATGCATGACGTTAGAACTGGAGCACTATATATCATGTGGCTAATAGCGTAAGACCTGTTGACTTGCAGGAGGTTGAATTGCGTGTTACCGATTTGCTTAAGGCGCTTGAGTAGAAATGGAATTAATTTTATAGTGTTGTGCACTTTTACCATTGTTCGTCCCAATCGAGATTCTTTATTTAACATGATATCAAGGTACTTGTAGCTGGAGACGGTTTCAACCTCAGTCTTATCAAGTATGACAGATGGTAGGAAATGACTTACGAGGCGCCTGCAGTTAGGCGGTTCATAAAAACTTTTTTTTGAAAATGTCCGCTCCAAAGTTGTTAGTTTACTTCAATGGAGTACACATAGCTATATTCCAAATTTCATCAAAATCGGTTCATATCTTGACCCTCCTCCATTGATTTGAAATTTCTGACTGCGCAACAGGAAAATGGTGCAAAAAAATACAATATTTTTCACTTTATTACAAATTGAACAATATTAAGCAGGAATTTCAATGTTTTTAAAAAACAATAAAAGATGCAGGATATAATTTCATGACTAACATCTTTATTTAATCCACGTTTTTCTCATAGTATGCATTTTAATATAATATTCTTTCTTTTTCACAGATTATAATGACAGATTTAACAAAAATATCTACCCGAACGGCAACAGATCAGCTTGCCTATGGTCAGCAGGCAGAACTGTTTGTAAGCGTACTTCCAACAGAATTAGATATTGCTAGAAGCTTCTTGTATGAGAAATAAAAATGAATGATAAAAAACTCTGGAAAAAAAAACCCCTGATTATTCTATTATTGCAGAAATTATTGTGTCACAAGTTGAAAGCGTTTATAAACGTGCAACCTTACCAACAGTTAGAAAAGACACGATTAAGGACCGTGTTCTCAAAGTTTATGAAAAGCGTCAAAGTATAATCCGAATACCAACTGCCAGAAGGTATAAGAACCCAAAGTGTCCAAATCCCAATGATCTCTCAGACTACTTTAAAAATAAGAAAGTTGAGTTTCGCAAAGAAATTTCTGGTTTGTTTGAAGTTGTTGATAATGAGAATGTTCCCAGGATGGGGAGAGATTTTTTCGAAGATCAGCGATCTATTCGAAAGATGATCATAAGTAGTACAGTGAATAAAGAGGCTACAAGAAACAACAGCAGAAAGAATCAAGTAAGCAAGCCGACGACACCATGGGTGTTAAAGAACGACAACGACGAAAATCGCAGTTTGAAACTGTTGCTTCCGTGAGTGTGAAAATTGGCAGGGATGAGGACGAAAACTCCGAGGAAGATAACAGTACTACAAGTCAGGATATTAAAACAGATTGGGACTTCCAAAATAAACCAAGTACATCGACCTCAGCCTCAAGTACTGCTAATGTTGTAGAAGTTGCTTTGAAGAATCGAGGAAGAGATCTTCAACAGATAGCAGAAGCAAAGGTGCGTAATTTGATCTCTGATAGAGCAACTGCTTCGATTGTTAATGCCACTCTTCGTATATACAATATTCCCAAAGTTGACAAATCAAAAGTTTGCAGTTGGACCATCCAACTCATCATCATTGAGTTGGATGGTCCAACTGCAGGTGAAAACACTTTTGCTGGACCTATTGGCAAGTTACTACCAGATGTCTTGAATTATTCTGTCATCAAATACAAACACTTTGGTCGTTCTCAATCTCTATCTAAAATGCCCAATGAAGTTTGGAAGGATTTGTCGAAATACCAGAAATACATGTGGAGAATTACATCAGCGCTCATTTCCGGGCAATTCGATAAGGATTTAGAGCGTTTGAAGATTGGACCATGTAGCCACAGTAGGTGACTCACGACTGCATGCCGTATCTGTAGGCTGTATGCGAGTACAACAAAACCATCAACAGTTTTAAACACTTTGACTGGATATATTGTGAATGTTTAAGCTCCTATGTGGTTTACTGTGAAGTATTATGAGCTTGGGATTAATGGTCCTCAAAATCTGTTTTTCCTAATGTAAAGATTTGAGTTAATAGAAGATGGAGCTGCTAAGAAGATCGTACAGCGCTGCATTCAACGGAACGCTTTTTATGCCCATCCAGAAAATATTTTGCTAGCTGAACTCGCCTCATCCCATAAGCCAGACCGCATAGATGCTGTTCAAACGATCATTGAAGCCAGTGCTAATCACCAAGATCAAGCTTCTTCTGTTTGTTTTTTCCGGGTGCCTGAACTGAATTTTAAAGCATCAAAGTGGCAATTGATGATTAAGTGGAGTGAAACTGACATACTAGAACGCGAATTGTTGGCCCTGGTAGCAGAACCTCTCATTGTACCTAATATTTAAATGTCACACCCAAATGGTTGAACGAGCTGTGAAGGAGGTTACAAAGGCCAGTCACAAGGTAGTAAGTACGAAGCGATGTGATTCAACAATAAAAACATCAATGGTGAATCGCGCCAAATATCCAAAGCAGATATCAAAGAAGGATTTTATCCCAAAATAGTCATATTTTCCCTTAATAAAAGGTATTTATTTATTTCACTATAGACTATGTTGTATAACTTTTAATTCTCCATCTTTTATTGTTCTTTAAAAACATTGAAATTCCTTCTTAATATTGTTCAATTTGTAATAAAGCGAAAAATATTGTAGTTTTTTGGGCCATTTTCCTGTTGCGCAAAGTCAGAAATTTCAAATCAATGGAGGAGGGTCAAGATATGAACCAATTTTGATGAAATTCGGAATATAGCTATGTGTACTTCATTGAAGTAAACTAACAACTTTGGAGCAGACATTTTAAAAAAAAAGTTTTTTATGAACCACCTTAGCCTGCAGTTAATTCTAATAACTTTATATTTTGAGCTATTAAGCTTCATACCATTGGTCAGAGACCAGAGTGCAACGCCATCAACGATAGATTGAGGTAATTTGGCAGGAGCTTTATCGTAGATAATGTAGGTCAGAATATCATCAGCATATTTTTCTAGTATGGTTTCGGCTGGAAGATAGGTGTTTATATTTGAGATAAAAAGAATGAACAAAAGAGGGCCTAGGACACTACCCTGAAGTACTCCGGCTTGAATATGTTTCCAATTAGTGATGTGATCACTTGTTTTTACTCTTTGGTGTCGGTTAGATAAATAAACTGCAATCAAGGATATAAGCCAGCTTGGTAGAATATTTATGCTTGTTTTATAATTGGGCCCCTCACTTTATGTTTTAAAGGGCCTTTTTTTTCTCAAATAAAAATTCTAGATATAGAAGACTTTTACAATTGTGCTCCCTCCGTGGCGCAGTGGTTAGAGTTCAGAACCCAATAAGCGACATTGGTACGGAAGGAGGCGTGAACTTCCCGTTAAATGCTCTCCCACGGTGCTCTATGATAAGACCGTAAGGACTTCTGGGAGCACCTAAACACATAAAAAAGAAAAAAAATACTTCGAAACATGTGTCATTGGCCATGATAAATGCTTTCAAAAACTGTGTTTTTAACCTTATAGACATTAGACAAATGTGGTTGGATGCGTTTATCTAAAAAAGACCATTGACCATAATATGGTGATTAAAATACCATTGCAATGACCATTGCATTTATATGACCAACCTTTTAACAAACACGACAGTAATTACTTAAGATACTTTATTTGATGCACGGGGTGAGTAATAAACTAATAATTTTTATTTATTACGTCATTATTTGAAAAATTGTTTCCGATATTTTTCCGATAGAAGAAAAGTAAACAACATGTTTAAAACAAGATTAAATAAAAAAACTTTGTCTTATTAAGTTATAAAAAAAAAATTAACCAAATTAAAAATGAAAGTAGTTTTTATTACCCTTTTTCTGAGTGAAATTGGTATAAGTCTTAAAATGATTATGTTACGTGGGTAAATTTTTAATATAACATTCTTCTACAATATATTTCATTGTATTTATATTATTACTAATGTGCTGTTCTGAATAGTATCCGTGTAAAACATACAATGTTGTACACTGTGTAAGACTTTTTAAAGTGAAAAGTCTATTTTTTTTTAAATATATTTAGTTATATGTCCTTGTCATTTGAATCGCAAAAATTTTTAAGCAACGTAAGCTGGTAAATGCAAACTAAAATTTACTTATTTAGATTTAAAATACACAATTAAGATGGCTTATTGGTTTCATAGACACCCATTAAAGGCAACCAAAGTGCAAAACTTTGATGCGTTAAAAATTATTTCCAAAAGTGTGCCAGCATCTAAAATTTGTAGGTAAGAAAAGAAGAAAAGATATTTTTCTTTTGTTTATCCCATGTAAGATTAACAGAAATTATCCTATATTATTTTATATATTATGTAGAAACATTCTATAAATTATCTACCATTATTTGAATTTAAATTTGAAGTATATTATTAAATGTTTTAATCTATTGCATGTTTAAATTGTTAGTGATCTGCGTTTAACCAGAGCAAAGTTGTTACAGTTACTTGCTGATCCAAGAAATAATTCTCAAGTTGTAGAACAAACTATGTTAGAATATTTAGAGCTCCTGTTAGGATTGTGTGAAGGAGTTGCACAGCAAGAAAACACTTCAGATGTTGAAGCCAAATTAAGAAAAGTTGAAGTATTTACATGGACACATACTATCTGTGGAAATGTTGGCCAGTAAGATATTATAATATATATATATATATATATATATATATATATATATATATATATATATATATATATATATATATATATATATATATATATATATATATATATATATATATATATATATATATATATATATATATATATATATATATATGTATATATATATATATATATATATATATATATATATATATATATATATATATATATATATATATATATATATATATATATATATATAAGAATAGCAGCCATTTTACAGTTTTCATTTTATAATTGTCATTTTCAAAACATAAATTTGGTTTAAAGTTCGAAATATTTACATAAATTATTAAAAATTCACTAGTAATGTAAGAATGATTATTTAGGAATATTGTTTTTTTTACAAGTAAATGAAACAATGAAAAAAGTTGATGATAAATGATAGTTTTGATTTTTACTCATAAATAGTACTGTTTGTAAATCCAAACTACCTTATCAATTAGGAATGCTAAAGCTCAAATTTTAGATTGCAGATAAATGGGAAAGTTAATCAGACTTCTGTCTAAAATAAACTTTTCCACTTTCATTAATTTATTTGAGAAAGTTTAGGTATTGTTTGTTTATCATATTTGATTTGAAAATAATACTAAAATATCTATAATGTATAAAATTTTTTTAAACAATCTACGCTTTGTCTCATAGATGTGTGTTTGTATTTTTAAAATAATATGACTGTAATTGAAATAAGATTAAAATAGATGCTAATTTTTAATAGACTTGGTATTAGATTTTTACTTTAGACTGATTGTTACGAATAATCTAAATAGCCAATATTCAAAAGATTTATTACCTTGTTAGTTGTATTGTTAATGATATTAAAATTAAGATTTAAGTAATATTTATTCTCTGATGTGATTATGTTATATTTATAGTGTCATTTAGAAGATCAAAATTTAAGAACATTTTTGTATAATTTTTAAAGCATGTTTATTTATAAATAATATGCCATTCATTACATTAAATATAGTTTTAGTTATATTATATTACATAATGTATTTATATTTTCATGAATTTTTATATATATTATTGAACATGTTTTTTTTTAAGAAACAGTATATTTTAAAGTTATAATTTTATAGCTGTCTAATTTTATGATTTTTTTTAATATCAACTAGGTTTTTAGGTTCAAATATTAAGTTAACCCTAGAGTAAACAAAATCAATCAAAATCACAGATAAAAAATTCAACCCTAATTTTACTGTACTGCGCTTTGGCAAATATTTTCCAGAATTTCTTAAAAATTTTTATAATATAAGGTTACATGTTTGTTATATTGTATTAAGTTACATTTCTTGCATAATTTTATGTTTCTAATCGTATCAAGGTGTTCTTAATTAGAATTTGTTTTTAATGATAGCTTTATTTTGCAATCTTTTGAACAACTTTACTTTAAAAGCTGTAATTATTTTAATAAAACATTTCACACACATTTTTTATATTTGGTGTAGTCATGTGATTTAAATCAACCTGTTAAATAATATATTATTGACATTGACTTTTTTTAAGTTTATAATCTAAATAGACAATGTGCAAACAACTTATCACCTTGTTAGTTATATTATGATCCTTTAAATGATATTAATATTAAGATTTAAGTAATATTTATTCTATGATTATGATTATGTAAAATTTATTTTGTCATTTTCAAGACCAACATTTAAACACATATTTTAAAATATAATTAATAAAATAATAAATTTTTTAGAAAGAACAATACTTTATTAAAATTTTTTGTAATATTTATATTTATATAAGTCTGACCTTATATTTTAACTTATATTTATATAAAGTATTGCACTTTCTATAAAATTTATTATTATATCAATTATATTTTGAAATATCCTATTTTTATACATAATACTATAATATATTATATATACTATATAATTTTTTTATAAAATATATTTGTAAGTTAATATATAGAAATATAATTTAACAGTATTCTAAATGTTTGTTCAATTGTTAATACTTCCTTTTTTTTTAATGCAGGGCTCTGCCTGATTCATACTATGAATTAGTTTCTATCATAACTGATTTTGCACTGTGGTATACAAAAAAAGCTTCATTTATTTCTTCAAATGAAGGGTATAAGATTTTTAACAAGATTTTATATATATGTATATATATATATATATATATGTATATATATATATATATATATATATATATATATATATATATATATATATATACATATATATATATATATATATATATATATATATATATATATATATATATATATATATATATATATATATATATATATATATATATATATATATACATACATCGTAAACCTAGGTGACTTTAATAATGGAGGTGACTTTGATAATTTTACCTATTAGTTACAAAAGTATTGGCCTTAAAATGTAATTGCAAAATAAACAACCAATTTTTTTTTTCTTCTGTTATATAATTATATTCTGCGTATATTTTGAAATTATGATTATGAAGTATTTCTAACTTGTGCAAATCTGTTGGGATTAATTAAAATTAACCTGACTCAAACAACAAAAATAACTACTTTTAAATGTCCCCAAAAAATGCCAAAAGTCTTATGATTTTTATTTTTTGGGATAAACTGCTTTATAAAAATCCAGATGTTCAAGTGGAATATTCCAGTTATAATACCACTCCTTTTTTCTAACTCTCAATTATATTTGCACAAAAATCCAAACAATTTTGTTTTTCACTTTTTCAAACAATTTTTAGTATTTATATTTCAATCCTATTGTGATGTTTTAATGTTTCAAACAGTTATTTCTAGTTAAAAAAGATGTAAAATATTAGTAAATACACCAGAACAATTTCCATTAGTATGAGAATTTATAAACATAAACTAGGTAATTGACCATATGCATTGTATCCAGCAGAAGCTATGCAAAATTCCTTGTTGAATATCTCAACAAAAAGAATGTCAATCTTCAAGGCATCAAAGTTGTATGGTTTACCATATGGTACTCTGTACAACAGGAGTAATCAGAGATGTAAAATAACCTGGATTGGATGAAATCTTTCATTCTTTGCAGTAATCTGACTTCTCAAATTGCTGACAATGTAAAATCAGCAAGAGCTGAAATTGATTGAAATTCAGTTTGTTTACATTTTGATGAATTATCCATTACACTACAAAACATTCCTAGTACTCATATATTCAACTATGATGAGATGCACATGTGGAATATACTGGAAGTATATTCCACCTTCCAGGTGGGAATTCCCACCTGGTAGTATATTTGGTAGTTCAAAATCTGGTTGGTTCAACTCTAGAACATTTGAACATTGATTCACAGAAATTTTTCAACCACTATTAAGTTATGAGTTACTTTAAAATAGAGAATAAATAAAAATACTAGGAAGTGGTTAACTGAATACTTAAAAAGTTGTAGGTTGTATATAGAAGAAAACCATGAATATGGCTAAGGGTTATAAGATTTTTTTGATGTGCAAGGAAAAAAAGCAGGTTTAATAAAAGTTTTTATAGCATGAAGGGATATTTACAATAAAAGGATGCAACTTGTTGAATAAGAAACAAGCATGAATGAGTTTTGGTTTATAGAGATGATAGCTTGTTTGAGCATTCACCATGATGGTATTTGTAGAAAAAAGAAAGAAGTACAACCTTACAACAATAGGAGAGTGGCTAAAGCTTGGCAGAAAAAGCAGGTCTAATTACATTTACAATGTGCTTTTAGACTTTTTCTGAGAGTAAAAAGGTTTTTATTCATCAACACAGGAATGCTAACATTGTTGCAATATTTTTTTGCAGTAAATAAATGAGTTTTGTTGTATAACAAAAGTTGTGGATATCAAGTCCAGAATTTAAATTCATAAGCCACTGCAAGCCTTAGGCTGTTTTAGAAGAGAGATCAGATTAAAAATTGGCTGCTTGTTCTAAGCAATCAAAAAGTGAGGGTTTTTTGTCAAGACAAGAGTTTGAAGTTGAGTTATCAACAAATAGAGCCAATTTATATGTAAAATTTTCATGAAGATCAATATGGTAGATAAAAAACAATACAGGAGCAAGGATAGAACCTTGTGGTACCTTTAAAGTACCTTGAAATAATTTCAAGGTACTTTAAAGGTACCACAAGGTTAACTGCAGTAATAAAGTTATTCTTGAAGTTAGAAATAATTTAATAATCTCAAAACCATTATATGAAGAAACTAATAACAGAGTGAAGACTAATCCTAGGATAGTTAGAGAGGTTAAAGTGTTTTCTAGAGTTTTGAATAATTGGAACCACTTATTAAGCACTTTTTAAAATTTTTCAAAAATTGAAGATAGTTCTGGAGAATACCTTTTTAAGACTATGATGAAAATCTCGTCTAAAGCACAAACTGTAGAAGCGTTTAATTGAGAATTAACTTTAGCATTGGAAGCCATAGTGATTTAGATAACAATGGTTTAATCTGTTTAACTGGCAGGAAAAGTATGACCATTAGATTTAAAAGTTAAATTAGACTAAGATTTCTTTGCAAATAACTCTGCTTTATTCTGGTGAGAAGTAAAAAGACTTACTTTAATTTATGACATTATTGAAGACTAAAGCTTGGTTTCCAATAGTTGTAGACATGTTGCACAACAGTTGTACAACAACTTGTTATAATAGGAACATTTTCAAGCTTAAGTTGCACAACTTTACATCGGTTTTACAACAAAATTTATATTGTACAACTGCGGTTGCGAGTTTTGAGAAAAATCTCTGCAGTAATTCTTTGTTTCTTCTGCAATTTGTGCAGTTTGTTATTCATTTGAAACCATGCAATAACTGTTGTACAACAATAAATTTTTTGAAAATATTGCCATTTTTTACAAAAGTATGGTGATACATTTATTAGAAAAAAATCATTTCTAAAGCAGATTTTATGAACGAAGTTCAAAAATATCCTGTTTTGTATGACAAGTTTGATAAGGAGCTTAAAGACAATTTCAAAAAGAAAAATTGCCACTTGGTACTCAAAAGACGCAAAATCATTTAAAAATTTCAAAAACAAAAAGTATTTTTTATAAAAATAACAATATTAGGTTTTTTTGAATAAAAACTATGGTTTTTAAACGAAAAATGAAAAAAAGGTAATATTCACAACATTTTTAATAATAAGTTTTTTTGAGTTGTTTTTTATAAAAAATGAATCTAATATTTAAAATTTTTATAAAATTTCGCTTCTTTTGAGTACTAAGTGGACATATTTTTAAATAATTTTTTTTTTTAATAATATTAAGGACCTGTCAAATGTTTAGTGGCTTTGAGGGACCTTTAGGGCAAATAATAAAATTTAGTATAAAATATTTTTGAACCACAATATGATAGTTGAATGGAAAAAACTTCAATTAGCTATGTTCTGAAAACAAATTAGCATACTGAACAGCCCTACTCCTATACATTGTGGAAAGTTCCAATTCTGATTAAATTTTTCAATAATATTTGGCCACTCTTGTATGTCATTAGGGGCTCTTAGAAATATTTTTTTAAGAACTTCCCATAGCACAGCGGGTTTCTTACATTATATTACATACTGAAGCTCTGCCAACACGAAAATAAAACGACTGAGTTTGTTGTGATTCTCTTGTAGCTAGATATCGAAGTGTAATTGTTATTCGCTGTGATTGGCATATAGATTTTATTGGGACAATATGTTTTTGTTATTGAAGGTCTGATTAATGACAAAAGGTAATCAAATCTGTCAGGAGACATTCTTAAGTATTGAAAAAAAAATTCTCTATCAAATAGCATCATTTCTTGTACCACCGAACTAAATGCACCTTGCTGTACGCATTTTTTAAATAGTTCTCTGACCCAAAACTGGTGTTTTCTTTTTTTTGAGTTTTTTTGGGGTTTTAATATGAAAAGTATAATAAAAAGTCGATAATTTAGAATAACACTTTTTTTAATGACTGCCATGTTTTTCATTTATTCTATATTTTTTTTAAAATTTGGCTTATTTAAATGCAATGGAAACATCATATTTCACAACAAATTAACGCACAACAAATTAAACGAAAGTTGCACAATTGTTGTTCGGAATTTCTACAACTATTGGAAACCAAGCTTAACCAAAATTATCTAGAACCTAACATCTGATATATGATACAAGGTTTAGTAAACTGAGAATAACAGAGGTTAACATCAGGTGGGACCTTTTTGCATTGGTTTCTTGGTAGAATAAAAGGACATTTGTTCTTAAAAGATATTTTCTTGTAAAAAATATGATATAAATGAATAATAAAGCAACTGCTTAAGATGGTGAAAAATGTGGAGTAGAATGAGGCTTGACTTAAAATTGAAGAGTAGGAATAAAAGCTTTCAAGCTTTTAGTCCAGAAAGAATAGCAAAAGAAAAGTTTCCAAGAAATAATATGTATGTACTTTATGCATACATATTATGGATATAAACATAAATGTTTGCAATATATTTAGATTCTGGCATAAAACATCCTTTCATATTTATATCAACTTTAGTATTTATATGGTGTAGTATTTTCCAAAGGAAAAGATAATCAGATGATTATGATGATGATGACGATGATGATGGTAATTTTGATTATGATGATCATGTTGATCATAATGATGTTTAAATATGCATATATGCATATTTAAACATCATTATGATCAACATGATCATCATAATCAAAATTCAAAATTCATGTTATATTTTGTATATATATATATATATATATATATATATATATATATATATATATATATATATATATATATATATATATATATATATATATATAATATATATATATATATATATATATATATATATATATATATATATATATATATATATATATATATATATATATATATATATATATATATATATATATATATATATATATATATATATATATATATATATATATATGTATATATACAAAATATAACATGAATTTTGAAGAAAAAAATATACTTTAGGATGCAAAAATTTTTATGCAGCCCTGGTCACAAACCTGGCCCTGGTTATATTTTATCAATCCTGGTCAAATATCAACCCAGGTCGCTTACTAAGTCAAGTGGAAGAAGATTTTACAAACATGGCGAAGAGAATCAAAGGTTCAATTCCAAAAAA